CTGAATTTGTTCATATAACAATTATTAAAGTAACGTCGTAGTTATCTAGATATTATTATGTCATAAAACTTTTAATGCTTGTTTATTCTAAATTGTATAAGCTTTTCTTTCCATGGATTAGTCTTTCTCAAATCGAATTCGCTGCAGTATAAACAAATCTATGCTATATCCTAGTAATCCTTTTCATTGAAACATGATATTATAAAATGATATAGCAATGAGTTTACTTGAAATAAAGCGTATTTTTTAAGATATATGTATAACAAACCATCAGATATATTGCAAATATAACACTTGTATATTGATGAAACAGTCTATACATAAAACAGTAATTGAGGGGAGTAGATGGCTAAAAATTTTCATATGAAAACTAAACTTAAAATCTTAAATATAAATTTATTGATTAGCTTCAACTTTTATTTGTATGATTTTTACACAGCAAAAGGACAAACTAGTTTCAGACTATTAATATACTCAAAAAGAAAGTAAATATTATTTTTATACTCAATTGATCTAATAAATTAAATAATTCACAAATTTAGGATATTGATAGTAACTTAATAAAATATTTTTCATTTAACGATTACGTGTTTTCAATCATGCCACAGACTTGTATATATATATATATATGTATGTACATGAATAGGAAGAAAAGCAATTATAAAACAAAAATGCATCATCACAAACAGAGATTTAATATTTTTTACTCTTTTCATTCTACACTTAATCTGCTTTTAACTGTTACAAAACAAAACAAAGGGACTATATAAAATGCATGCACTTCTCACAATCAACTCTGATTTGGGTGAAAAGATTAATAATCTTTATAAAAGAAAAAGAGAAAGAGAAAAACATAAAAAAAAAATTATGCTACGAAGAAAAATTCTTAATGGAATGAAATTTGGTATCCTCCACTCTATTATAAATAAAGAGTAAATAAGAACTATAATGCAAATGTATGTGTGTGTATTTAAAATTTTCATAAAATAAAAAACGTTCATTAACGATATACGAGTAAAACAAAAGCTAAAGAGAAAGTTATAACAGCTATAGTACAGTTATAGTTATTAAAAGTTTTCAAATTATCACCGGTTCTAACGATAATATAATTCATTATTGTCAGCAATTGTTAATATACTTCCTAATCACTTGTGTTTGGGTCTCCTTCAGGCATAGCTGTCACTTGTAATATGAATTTGTTATTGAGGTAACTAACGAAAACTGGCGTCGATTGCAACATATCTGGTTACATAAAATAATTCCAAAAGTAATCGACAAGTACTGTCGCCGCAATGGTCAAAAATCAAATAAAATCCAATTGTAAAATGTCAACCACGTATAGACTGAAAGTTGTTATTAGAAGATTTTCGTTAACATTGTGTCTGAATTAAAATATTACAATTGAAATTCCAACTAAAATCTTAAATTTTGTTTTCATGTAATCATAGATTTGGAAATTTTGCAGTAATTATAAAAAAGCTTTAAAAATAATTTTTTTGAGTACAACAGCGAATTCCGAACGTGTTTTTTGTTTAAAATAGAAATTTGTCGAACATGCTAGCTTTGCTTTGCATGTTGTTATTTACGTGCTTCATGAGACCTATAAGTTAAAACTAAATCATCGAAAATTCCTAATAAACCTTCTATGATCTTGCATAATATTCCTTTTTGTATATATATTACATGTACATACATATACACTTCTCCAAAGTATTTATAAGAGTTCCTTGGGTTGTTAGTTATATTACTTTTTAAATTTTGTAGAAATAGTTCGAAAAGTAAACCATATGAAATATAATTTGTATATACATACTTACATTTACAATATCGAATATTAAAGACTGCTTTTAATCCGAATATTATAAAAAAATATAATTTTTTTTCTCTCTCTCATAAATTCTTAGCTCATATTTTGTGTATGCACACGTGATTTTTATGTAATTTTTTTATGATTGAAATAAAATTTTCTTTGCTCATTCACAATTAAAAAAAAAAATATGAGTTTTACAATTTATGTGATTTATTTATTGAATGCGATATTTAAAAACGAACAAGTGTATATATATATATATATGTACGTAAGCAAATAAAATGTAAATATGATTCAAATAAAATCGTATATAAAATATTGATTGTATGAATGTATATGTACAAATGTATGTACATAAAATGTATGTTAGTAAATTTATAATTCTTATTACGTATGAAATTATTATAATAGAATTTTCATTACGATTATTGCTTTTCATTAAAGGTTATTGAAAATGTGGAAATTTTGTATAATTTAAATAAAAAATTTTATTGAATTAGTTAAAGACTGTAACTATATAAAATCGAGGATACTATATTGGATTTTTTGGAAATATGTTTTATATAAATTTAATATCTGGAAAGTTGAATTAGGAGTATGTCACAGGATCGAACCCATGAATTCGTTTCATATTCAAAGAAAAATTTTACTTCATTAAAATATAGGAAAATAAATTTAAGGATACTAACAGCGTTAACTACTATAATTAATTAGTTTTCTAAAAAGTTGTTCCCCGTGCCCTGTTCCCGAAATCCAGACCTGATACATAGTCGTAAAATTATATGTATATATATTATTGTTTAATGAGTATTGTCGTATAATAAAATAATTAAAATTATAAAATTATTAATTGTAAAAAATTATTTAATTCACTATTGTGAATTAATAAGTAAATTTTACAATTAGAGTGCTTTTTGAAGTAATTGTATAGACTATTGGTATAATTACGGTTAATACATTAATAAAAAAGTTCATTGTTCAATTGTACAACATGTTTATCGGAAAGTAGATGATATTCTATTTTACCAGATTCAATTATACTTTTTGATATTTTTCAATATTTTGCCGACTATAATAGAAACAGGTCAAGAATTATAAGATTTTGTGATCTACTGATTGGAACGCATAATTACTAGTAAATCCATAATTCACTTACTCAGAAAATCATATCCTTCCCTTTATCAGAAATTATAATAGTGTTTTAATAAGATAATAGTGTTGTCAACAAACTTATAATAAATTTATAGTGATTAAAATATAATTTACCTTTGCTCTGTTATTGTAAGTGCTAAATCCTTGTTCTAAACCTGATAATTTAATTTTAACAATCTTTGCAATTTATTCATCTTATTCCAAAAATCCCATAAATATATATACAAGTGTATGTTTTTTATTTTGCTTAATTCACGAACGGCATAAATTCCCTTTAAATAATTTATGAATAAGCGTGGCGATACTTAGCTTTTCTTTTATAGCTTTAAAAATTTTTATTGTAATTAAATCGTTACTTTTATGTTTGTACTTGACATAGGCTCATATAAATATGTATATATGAACGAATATAAAAATATCTAATTTGTGAACAATTTGTTATTACAGTATGTATATACTTTAAATAAACATAAACCAGAAATAAAATCTTATCTATGGATACGAATATGTGATTATGATGGTACATTTTATAGCGTAAGGATAAGCTTTAATCATAAAACATAGTATTTATATAACAGTAAAATTATTTAATTACTATTATAATAAAAAATAAGTAGAAAAAATTTAAAGCTTCGCAATTTATTGTGTAATAACTGAAAATTTTTGAGTGACTAAAGCCGGGGTAAAGAAATTATTTGAATGAATTATTAAAATATTAATCTGTCCCGTAAAAATCTACGCCGTCATTATACATATACTATGTCAATAACTGTATATGCACACATGTTTGTACACATATAAATATGTGTATGAAAATAGTTATATAAAAATTCCAATTTAAATTAACTATGGAAATGGGAAATATTAACTATGGAAAATTTATAGAAAATATTAGCAAATTTGGATCAATCCAGTAATTTATATGAAATAGAACTTTCTCTAGAAAAAATGTTCCAAAAAAAAATTTATTAAAATTACATTGGCATTGGAATATTGTAGTTATTAATTCACTGTCATTAATGTATAGATTTTTTTGCATACCTTTAGGATGACAAGAAAAATTAACAAAAGAAGCATTATAGCAAAAGGTACTAAACTCGAAAACTAATTTTTAATTCAATTATATTTTTTTTAAAACAATTAATTTAAAAAAACGAGTTTAGAATAACGGTTACTTTCAGAAGACATTATGTAATTGATTCGTTTGACTATGATTTTACTATTTTAAACACAGGAACGAATTTTGATTTTGAATATCCCATATCGCGTGTATTTAGATATAGCAGCAGAAAGTACTTTTATTGTTTTACTCATATATGTACGCCTTCACTGCAGCCTAAACAAAACCTAAAAAGAACCGGGTGGTTTAGATAGGCCAACTGTAATCGTACGCTCAATGACGAGCTAGTAATCACGGGGTAGTGGTAGAAAAATGGCATATTTGTGCTAATTGATGTGCGGTGAATCTGCAGTACCTGCCACATATTGCTAATAATTAAAATTTGAATTAATATTTTCAAGACACGTTAGATTGCACTTGACATATTAATGAAATTACCTTAATTTTTAGGGAAAATTAATTTTAAAAATGCCTCATACATACAACCCATATAGATGTTTATTCCAACTAAAAAATGTCTCTTATGTAATCATTTTATAACTATTCTATTTATTAATTTAAAGTATATAGTAGGTATAACCTTTCACAATAACAGTAATCAATTTCAATCATCCCTATAATCAGTGATATTCTTTTTAATTTTATAATCGATGAATATTTCAAAACTGTCTATCATTTTTTATTTTATTTTAATTTATACATATATACTATATATAGACACATATAGACTATAAAATATTATGTATAATTTGTGTCAAATATATAAATTTAAATTATAAATAAATTTAAGAATTGTAAATAAACAAATTATGTACATATAAAAAATATAGATTATACGTAAATAATGTTAAGAGTATATCTGGTATACAGACTTTATAATACCAAATCAATAATCCTTTTTCGCCCTTTATTAAGAAATAATTTTAATTTTTATATTTTATTTTAATTTATATACAAATATATATACACATACATATATAATTTAGTTTACATTTGAGAATTATTTTTATTATAAATTGAATTGAGGAATCTTTTAAGAATAATATAAAAAATACATTTGACAAGATGAGTCGACATTATAGGGATTGTGAAAAAATAAATAAAGTGAATAATGTTTTCATAGACCAATCTCAGAATTAAATTACACTTGATTTAATTTATACAAGCACTTTGCATTAATTCATGGAAATCTGCGTAGAATTGGACAAAAAATCCTTCACAATATTCATTTGATTTAAACAAAAAAAACTATTTATTATAACACTTCTCATTACCCTATATATTCCATAAATTTATTTAAATTTTTTTATAAATACAGAAACTTTTTTATCATCTAAACTAGAATTAAATATTTTCTTTTTATCTTCACTATCTTCATCAATAATACTTGAATATTGTATTTTAGCAATTTCTTCCATTTCAGCTTTTTCACATATTCTTTTACCATAATCATTTGTTGCATTTACCATAGCTAATTCAAAACCAATACGTTTTGCACGATTCAATGAATATAAAACCATTTGATAGCCCAATGATTTACCAAAATATTCAGGATGAACACCAATATTACCCAATGAGAAAATTTCATTAACATTATATTTATTATATAAATCAGTTTCATCTTCTGCTAATTTTTGTAATCCTATAATTGCAAATAAACGTTGATCATTTGATTCTTTTGCTAATTTTAATGTTTCCATTGTATCTTTACGACTCCATCTATTATTAACAGTAAAACCAATAAAATTATAATAATGATTTGGATCAAATGATATTGTATTTAAACCATTCATAACATTTGTCATTGTCCATCGAAATTCTAATAGTGATGGTACTTTTTGATCTTTCCAACCAGTTGATAATGGTTCCGATGTCCAAAAATAATTTTTTAAACCATAACGTATTAGACCGTAATCGAAACGTGTTGCTGAACGTATTAAAAAATTTCGATTTGACATTATTTTATTTTAATTATATTTTATTAAAATGCGAAATATTTTAACAAAAAAACTATAATATTAAAAATATTATGTGACCGTATTAGAAAACAATTTAATTATTAATGAAATATTAGAAAAACTATTTGATTATTTTATATAAAAATAAAAATTTAAAGAAAACTTTTTTTTTTTAAATAAATAAATTATACTATCTGTTTATTTCTGTTTTTATTTTTATATTTTATCAATAATTAATTCAATAATTAAAAATTATTAATAAATAATTTTGCACTTGAACGCTTAATCCACAAAACGTAAGAGATGACATTTTATTTTACTACTCGTATGAAAATATTATTACAATTATTTTGTATTCAAAATTACATGATTATGAGCGATTTATGTCAGTTCTTTAACAGTGTTATGTGTGTGTATGCATATGATTTTTATTTGTTTCAAGATTAGTAAGATTAATAAACAACAATAAAGCTTTAAATAAAACAACAAAAAATTATATATGTTAGTGGACTAATGCCCTCAAAATTAAATAAAAATAAAAAATATTGAAATTTTATTATATACATATATATGTATAAAAAATATATGTATTATACGTTCGTACATATGGTTTTTTAAAGCAACTGCCGTTTATAGGATATTGAAAGAATTTGACAATAATTGTTTAAAATTTCATGCGTTTACACGTCGACTTTAAAATCAATGGTTGACATGCGTTTCATTTCCGACTAGAATAGTAGTCGTGTAAACATAGGCATTCAGAGTTAAAAATTGAATGTCAGTGTCGTCAGCAACTTACGTATTTTATTTGTGTTTTAAAACAAATAATTTTTCAAATTTAAATAATTTTAAAATGTCAAACTGTCACATTTAACATTTGTTTATTGTGACCTGTCATAATACTTGTGTTATACCTACTTTCCTTACTTCTTGATAATTCCCTTTGCGGAAGAAATGTTGATTTTTATCCTGTATTATATGAAGAAATTATTATAAACTAAATATAACAAATTGATTTCGAATTTATTAATAACATATTTTCAATATAAGAGATTATAAACTGTAAACAATTTTAATTATAAAATTTCAACCAATATGAATATTATGAATATGCGATGTTATTAAATTTTGTTATCAAAATTAAATATTATATATAAATATATATGCATAACATGTACATATATATATATCTGAACATGTAAAACAGACAAAAATATTGACAATCGCGGTTATATCGATTACGGAATGTCGATTTAATGTGATAAGGAAATAAATTTATGTCTGATATTATTTAATTAATTAATTAAAAGTCAACAATAATACATAATTACTTTATTCTAATATAAATAAGGGATTCCTGGATATAAGAGATTAACATTTTTATTATATTTGATTATATTTTGTAGTAATTTCAAATAAATGTTTTGGAAAAATGAAGAAAAAATACACGAAACTTTTTCAAAAACTAAAATTTCAAGCATCGAAATTAGAAGTTTCATTAAAAATTTAGCACAATTTAAATAAATTAAAAAAATGCGCTTAGCAGTTCCTCTTTATTTTTGACAGAAATTTTATTAGAAAACCTACTGTTCTAGAAATCAAGGACATGCAAATGAGCCCATTCTATCACATTTCTTCAGAAGCACTCGAACATCATGTTTATTGCGAATAAATGAACCACGTCATTGCTACACTATTATATTTACATATTATGCATCTTCTAATTATTGCTCATCTCCTAAAACTATGCAAGAAGATTTGATTGTTGGAAAATGTGTTGCTTTCCAAAACAATATTGATGGTGGTCAGGAAAATAATGTTTTTGGATCTATAAAAATAATGTTTATGCTGGAAAATTAAATAATCTTTAGTTTCGTAAGTACATGTTATAAGTTTAATATTCACTTACACTTTTACTCCCCTTACATTTTAAAAACTGAGAAGAAAGAGAATTGAGTGTAATATAAAAGAAAAATTAATTATTTATAATTTCTTAATATTTAAAAATCTTTGAGGCTTTCCAAAATTTAAAATGGTATTTAAATGGTTCTTATATCGTAAAAATATTGTAAATCCTCTTGGAAAATCATGTCAAACTCTTTAATTAAAGTTTATATTTAATACAAGATTTATATGGAGGTTTTTATTATGATGCGTTTAAAATTTCTTTTTCATTTTATTTCATTTTTAATTTAGAATTCTTTAAAAAGTACAAGAAGTACAAAATCTCCTTTACCGAGATTATTATTATTTTCCAGGAAACCATTCAATTAAAAATTACGAAAAAAAAAATATATAAAGAAAAAAATTTATATTATTATACAAACATACATACACATTTATGTTTATACATATATACATATAAGAAGACTCAAGTACAAAATTCTTTAAGTATATTATAAAGAAATTTTAAGAACTTAAGGAAATATTAATAAGTACCATCCACAAAATTAAAAATTAAAAAGTAAAAAATTTTTTTCCTTTTTGTTTTGACATAATGAAGTTAATCACCAGATTAACTCACTTAAATAAGATGTACACATATTATTTCATCTTCATTATATAGATGGCGTATGTGTGCTGTATTGAAATAAAAAAATACCTTTGAAGAATTTTTTGCTTCAGCGAAACCAAAGAATTCAGTAAACATTTGATGAACTAATTAACGATTATAGTTTATTGTAAATGTGTAATTGCTTTTAGCGATCTTTTTTATTGATTCTTACAATATACACAATATAATGAAAAATATAATATCGTAAAATAAATAAAGAGAGATAATTATTTCACAAAACTGCAGCACTGCGTCATGACGTATAGAGTAAAAATTCTAAAGGGAAATAAATTAAATTCTGTAACTCTCGGATATAACTCGGTACGTAGTTGACGAAATATGAACTTTTTTCTGTAAAGGACGTGTGTCATTAGTAGGTTCCTAAGAATTTTCCTGAACAAATGTTTTAGAACTCTTCAATATAATTTTCGCGGGTATACCACATAATTGTATATATAATGAAATTGAAGCAATTACCTTTAACTCCTCGTTTTACTATAATGTGCACCGTCTATAAAATTATTCTATAAATGCTTTCAAACCTGTTGAAATTTTAAAGCAAAAAGTTCTATAAGTATACAATTTTTTCCTTCCAAAAGAAGGATATTATACACCGTTATAATTAATGTGCATAGAACCGTTAAGAAGCTTAAAAAATATCAATTAAAATAAAAATGGAGTTGTGATAAAAAAAAATTATTTTATATATGCATGTAGAATAATATTGTGTATGTCACAGCATTCCTTTTTTTTTTCAATTTTATTGTTATACACTCATTTTAATTTAAACGCAATTTAATTGCTTTATGCTTTTCATATACACAAATGTAGGTATATGTCGCATGGATTGATGTTCACACTTATCTGCTATTATTTTATTGTGTTGAATTTTTTTTTAATAAGCACTGATGTTAGTACACACATAATACAAATTTTCAGGTGTAGTACTAAATTTGAAAAATTGTGCAGTTTTATTCACACAAAATGGTTGCTACTATTTAATTGCAATTGGAATTTTAAAATAATTTAATCTACTAAAAATTTAATTGAAATTGAATTTTTGACTTTAAACAAATATTTTTTTTTTTTAAATCAATAAGGAAGTTATGATCCTTGAAAGAAAGCTTTCCCAATTATATTTAAATTGTATAAAATTCATTACGAATTCTTATTATTTGTGGGAAATAAATGAAAATTACATTGAATTTTAATTAATAATTAGTTAAGGAATATTTTAATTATATAAGTCTGTGGATTAAATTTACCTTGAGGGTAAAAATTTACAAATTTTTTGTTGGTTACAATGGTAAGCAAAAGTACTTGAACAATATTTTTAATTATTGAAATTGCTAAATAAGTTTTTACCCCCTTTTCGGTTTTATCGTTTCTAATAAAAAAAATAATTGTAAAACCATCTAACCGCGAAATGTAATTCTATATTAAGAATTTTTCAACGATTCAATCTTAAAATTTAAGGTTGTTTAAATTTTTTAATTGAAGACAAAAATTTCACGATTTAATTACAAAATTAGTGTTAATAAAATTTTACATTTTTTATAGTTAAACATTTTCACCCATCTTTTAATTATTAATATCAAAATTTTAAATATAAAGCAAAAATTAAAATATTTGAAACGACTTAGGATATGCAACAATCATTTGTATATAAAAATCCTTTTTTAATTTTGTTTATTAAACATAATATGTATGTGTACTTAATCTTATTAAATTACCTTTAAAATCACCTTTAAAACATTTAAAATTTTTCAATATAATTTTGACGACTTACCTTGCAAGTTTATAACCTTTTTTCTTTGTAATTATTTTTACGGGTAATTTTCTTTATGGATTTTATAATTTTAATTTTATTTTAATTATATTTTTTTAATTGATATTTTTTGCAATTGAAAATAAAACATTTTTTATTCTCTCTTTATTTTTAAACGGTTGTATATATTTTATATATATATAAGAATTTGTATACCTGGGACCTTACTATATGTAATTCAATTTCCGTATTTGCAGAAATAGAAAGGTATAGTACCATACAAATTGATTGAGTACCATTTTTCAAAATATGAAAATCGAATTACATATGGTAAGGCCCCTGGATTTATGCCTTTACGAGCTATTTTCCTAAGGTATTAGAAAAATTTACGATTTCGTTTATAAAATTTAGAAATAATGATCTGTATAAACGGAAATGTAGATATTTTCTTACTTAATGTTAAATTTTAAGTTAATTAAGCTTCAAAATTTATTTAATTGTGCTTAAGAAACTATTGTAGGCAACAGTACTGCACAAACGGAAATTAGTAACAGGGCTTTTGTTCTTGTTATATGTATTGTCGAGAATCGAGATCACATATTGGTACTTATGATAACTGCTACAAAATTTCTTGATTTATAAATACTCAAATTAAATCGAGAATAATTACATATAACCCAGTATATGTTCAAGCTACTGCGCTCAAATTTAATCTATGAACTATTTTAGTAACTTTATCAATGTTTAAAGTTAAAATATTTTT